TACAATTTCGGTCTACGCCTATAGACCTTGAATATACTGATATATACCGCGAACAGAAATTCATTTCTCAGGAGATTAAAAAGCTGAACTTTCAAAACCGGTATATCAACCAAAAAGCAGATGAAGGGAGCTGGGGGACGCACTGATGAGCCGGGCCCCTTGCAGCTGTGTCAGGCAGCGGCAGACTACAGGCAAAACACGTGTAAGGGCCTTTTAGCTAGTATCTAGGCTGTTAGTATGGCATGTTACAACACTTCCCAAGATCATATGTGTGGATACTCGTCGCAGAAAGAAGCCCATGCGGGTAACGGAGCGATTAATCTTTCTATTCTGTCTACGTCTTTTACATGCTCATCTCAACCGCCAGTTAAGTAAAGCACTTAAAGGTTAATCAATAGTCGCAATGATTACTGTTCATTTAGAGGAGCCCCGCCTCCTGCCTTGAAAGATTTTAAGACTTAAAATGGACTCAGCTCACACCATCAGATGACGGTCAACCGCGAAACAAAAAAGGCAGGATTGTTGGGAAAAGAGCTTTATTAACCTGAAGTTTCGGTTGCTGACTGGAATCCTTCATCAGAGGCAAGGCCAAATAGGGTTAGAGGATTGCAAAGGTGTAACACTCTTTATAGGATTTTGTTGCTAGGGCGCTAAGTGCTTATCACAGTTGACAACTATCCTTAGCTGACCTTGTCTCTGATTACGGAATTGAGTGAGAACTAGAAACGTCCGTGTACTAAATCTCTAGTCGCCACGATCATTAATCCTTCGTGAAAACTGCCTGGAACCCGCCTCTTCGCTTCTGTAAGCAGATAGTCACTCACTCTACACTCCTGTCTGGCAGTCTTTACGTTTTGGTGCATTTTCGGAAACTCTGTTCATTTTACTTATCTGTAATACATGCTGTTTAGTACTCTTCCAACTCACTATTGAATCTTATTCACCGCTCATTAAAGGCATAGTTGAAACAGCCGAAAACATAATAGCATTGTAAAGATGATACTGGATAGATATTTCAACACAAAGTTGACCTTATACAATGATCATTTATCTCCTGAAGATATCGTTTGTTTAGATAAACGAATGGTTCTTAACTAATCCAATTTTTGATAAGTTCAAGGCTCTCGGTCGAGGCGTCGTACCTCAGATAGTTAAAGCATTGACTATACTCTAGCCTTGCCCTTGCTGTCTTGTGTTCAGGCCGTCGGTTCATGCATACTCAGCCTAATAATATAGTCCTTGGGTATTTGAATTCCCCATTAAATGATGCGTACAAGTATCGCCGCTGTTGCTCATAAGAAATAATTTGCCTTAAAAATTCCGGGTTATGATAAGTTTTGGAACCCCACTCACGTATATGCGCACTCTTTTATTATCAGGCTAATAAATGTTACTCACGCAATGTAACTGTATGCCCCTATCTGTTGAAAGGAGTGTCGAAAAAGATACGGGGGACTGGAATGGTCAATTCTATCCTCCAAGTCATCATCAGCCAGTCTTACCTGCGCCTAGAATCCTTTAACGTTAGTATGTTCGGTCTCCTACCACTGAGCTACAAAAATGTCCTACCGGCTTTTTTTGATGGTAAACACCACGTAGCTCTTTACAGGAGAACAAAAAGTAGGAGGTTTTCTTAAGCTAACATACATGCAAATATGTTTTCGGGCGCGATAGACCACGGGCCATTCCTCTTGCCCAGGGGTCGGGAACGTATGGCT